TGGTTTTTGGCGCAGAGCACCCTTGAAACCATCTAATAAATCTTCTGAGGCCTTCCTTTTCTTCCTCTGAATCTCTTTAGTGATGTTGTGTTCAGGATCAGCATTCATCTCAATCCCCACTGATCGTGGATTTTGTTTACGCCTTGATCTATAGGATCTCCTCTGTGGCTTACCTCCTCTGGCCCTCCTCTGGCCCTGGTTCCAGATGAACCCGCTTCCAAGACATTTGGACCCTTGTCCATTGCTCCAAAAGTATTAAGAAGTATTAAGCAAAATAGCAAAAGAAAAACAAACACTGTCGGTGACTTTTTATTTGTTTTCCCCATGATTAAAGAAATAAATCATTGTACGGTTCGGTTTATTTAATTAAATCGGGATTTCCATTCCAGGAGAAGAAGGATTCAAAGTTTTGAAAAGTTGTAAAGTTTGTAATCAGCATTCTAATTATTAATCAGTGACTGACTTGTTTTCTTTACTAACAAAAAACTCCTCATTTACTCTCCAAAGAGATTTGGTAGCGACTATATATATAGTAGTGTTTCAAACATTTTATTACATTTTTTTCCCAAAAAAAAAACATTTAATTACATTTTAATTTAAAGCGAAAATTACAAAGTTTGGCACTAATTGCGCGCCACTTTTGTGCTTACACGTCAATTACAATCATGCCATACAATTTAAGGAAGATTGAATGAGTGGAAACGTTCATCAAATCACCACCTTAATTGATTTGGACCATTCACCAATTTTCTTTCAGAGTTTATATCTAATTTCGACATGCACTAATATTTTCAAAATATGGTTTATAGTTGATGTTTTTAAATTTTTGACCCAAAAAAAAAAATCCATATGTTTATAATTCAAAATAAATTTGCAATGCGTGGATCAACTTAATAAGTGAATTTGTTCAGTGAGTGCTAATTGAAAAGAGATTTTGAGTTTGGTTAAAGTTCTGGTATGTGTTTTCTTTTCAACTGAAGCGCTCATTTTAACCAGAAGATGCAAAATGTTGGATGGAAGAACACAAACTCTTGTAAATCGTGAGTGGCGTTCTCTTATGCGTTTTCATTTCGATTGATTGCTTCTGTGATCTACTACGCTATGTAACGTACGTATACGGTAGACCAACTTAATCTGAGTTTAAAGATCTCTTCTACATGCACGGAAAATTAAATCGGAGTTGGAGTTGTGAAGGCTAGACCCAATAGGCCCAATTTATCGCACCATCATCTTTCGTAGGCAGAGACATGAGACATCAATGGGAAAATCATGACTCTCTTTTGGTGGAATCTTTGTTGACTCTCGGATGATCAATTCAGACAACTCGGTCAGATTTCCTCTATCAATTTTTCTCATCTATCTCGTAAGTTCAAATATGTTAATGCGGCATTTTTTGTTGCTACGTTTACTACTTCTGCAATAAAGTTGTTTGTTGACCCATAGGCCATAGCAATAATAGATGTTGTATAATTTTTTTGTTTGTTACACCAATCTCTTGGGGGGGGGAAAAAACAAAAATCAATCTCTTATTTTTTCCATGTCAGAAAAGCCTATATTATATATTTGTTGATATTTTAAGCAAAAACAATAAGTATGAAAGAAGCTTTTTAGTTTGGGTAAACAAATTGGAAGAAGCTTGTTCAACGTATTTTAGAGTTTTCGTGAATCTGCTCTTTATTATATTTTAAGAATTTCAATGCTTACGATTTCAATTTGCTTGTCAAAATACAGAATTGATCAATATTAAAAATAAAATAAACCGGAAGGTACTGCCAAGTGTTCATTTTTCACATTGCAAGTAAACTAGATATTCGACGACGGACTTATTCATATTTTATAAATATTAAGAAAATAAATGTATGACGTAAATAGCAAAAGAAAATCTCAAATAAATATACTTATTCGTTGTTCTTACAAGTCACAAGTTCACAACACATAATTCTGTCCCTATTTCCAAATGAAATCTCAAAACTATCGTTTCTTATATAAAAGTATGCATTAGTGAAGTTGATATTATAAATCATGCATTACTTCGGATTTTCAAAAAATGATAAAGTATTCAAAAGAAAATAACTAAAGGTTCTCGATCATATATAATAGACTCCAACTAATAATGTGTAGGACTGACTCATTTTGACATCACTACATATGTTTAGAAACGTTTTTAACTATGACATTGTCATATATTTTTTTGTCGTCACTATGGACATTGTCTTAAATAATACACATTCATAGTCGTCAAACATTGAATTTTATATCAAGAGTAAGAGACGTTAAATTTAAACGGAGCATAAAAAGTGTATTCCCATTTTCTAAAAATGAATTAAATCATGTATATTCATTTCTCTATTTTTTGGTTGTTGATAAAATCTTTTTTGTATTATCCTTCTTTTTAAAATAATTTCTTTGAAAGGAATCTTTAAATTAATAATAGAATAATCTCCGAGTATATCCGGATATGTTCAGAGAAGAAGCTCATGATGAGATTAGTCATGCTGACATGGAAACTAGCTGTCTTTACCAATCATTCATCCCTCAGATCAGACATGTCCTCCAATCAGAACTCGACACATCACCACCAATCTTCCCTTTCGCGGCGTCTTGTATCTGTTTCCGATTTCAAATGGGTCCCATCTCCTCCTATATAAATTATCCTCTTTTTTTCTTATTTTTCTTCAACCAAAAAAAAAACATAATTTTATTTTCTCTTTCTCTCTTTCTTTAAATTTTAAAACCGATGGATCGGCAAAACTCCGATGACATCATGAGATTTCTCGACGGAATGGCTAGCTCCGACGACGTTCTCTTCGGTTTTCTCGACGAAGGAAACCAAACACCGGAAGATTTCCCGGACTCCGGCAACCTCAACGGCGCCGGAGATGAAGAAGACGATCACGACCACGACCACGACAATAGCAATTCTGAAGAAAACAGAGCTTTTTGGCAGGAACAAGAACAACTTCTTCAGGTACTTTTTTTTTTGTTTTCTTTAAGATAAAATTATTCATTTTTAGCCAATAAAAATAGGGTCTAAATTTGTTTTTTTTGTTTGGAATTGTGTATAGGGAACACTTTATAGAACAAGTTCGATCGAGACAAAGATACGACAAGCGACAAAGGAAGCATTGAAACAAGTTAAATCAAAGGGTCTTCTTTGTGTCTGCCAGCGACCGGTAGACGGAGGTTGCCGGAGCTGCTTACGTGGCGAAATCTCACGACATCTCCGAGATGTGGCCGGCTACGATTGCGTCATCTCTAAATCCAAGTGGAGAAGCTCTCAAGACATCCCTGCAGGTACAATTACAAAACACACATGTGTAATTTGCTCGTTATTATTAAAATAGTGGTTATGAAATATTCAACCATCTTTTTCATTCATCAATCAATGCAAATATCTAAGATAATTTTTTTTTTTTGAAATGGACAAAATATTATGTCCACAAGAACACGAAAGATCTTTAATTTGTCACTTACGTATCAAGCAAAATTCAGATTTTGATTTGTCAACACATTAC